AATTAAAAAGGAATGATTTGATGTGAAGTTTAATGTTGTGAATTACTCCCTCTGTTAGTTGGTTCCATAATGATGTTCCTATTTAGAATCTATTAGTGAGATAATTATATTTGAAGTAGGGATATTATTGTAGAACGGAAGGAGTACTCCATATGTGGAGCTTATTGTTGAGAGCTTGAAAAGCAAAAGAAAAACAATGTGAACTTTGATAGGGAATGTTGTAGTTATTAAATATTAACACCTACATCCTCCACTCCACATACTATATATACATCCTACAAACAATAAAAATTTGTTTCCCTCCTTTTCTCCCTCCTTTTATAAATCAATTTTCTTATAATTTTACCAACATTTTAAATTTCTCTATCCTCATAATTTTACTCTTTTCTTTCTCCATTTTCTCACTCTTAAACGATCAAAATCTCTCAAATTTATCTTACAAAAAAAAGTTCAAATACTCTTGATCTCTACCAAAATATTGTACTACGTATGTAAGATACGAAATTGCAGAAAATTTCTACAAAAGAACAACTAACAATCAAATTGTAAGTTAATTTTGTTTATTTTTGTTAACTTTGTTTATTTTTGAAAAAAAAGTACAAACACTAACTTTTTATTTGCCTTATTCTTCAATTACTTTCTTTAGATGTATGAATTTACAGTATTAGTTCATGATTTCTTATAATTTTTAACATAACAATGATTTCTTATGATTATATTAGAATGATGTTTGGTATAATAATATACTTTAAGTTGAATTAATTTGTGGTGTATTATTAGGTTATAAAATTACTGGACAAAAAAAAAAAAAAAAAAAAAAAAAAAAAAAAAAAGAGAGAGAGAGAGAGAGAGAGAGAGAGAGTTTAATTGCCCTAATTTTCTGGATTTGATCTATGTTGTAGGATTATAGAAATACAAATTTAGCTCGTAGATGAATGTTCATTTTCATTTTGATAAATATTCATTTGTATGTTAGTATATGTTCATGCACATATTAATATACGGTCATTAGAATTATGATAAAAGTCTTGATCTCCAATTTCTTCCTAAATTTTCTATCGATCTAATAAGGAATATCAATCTATTGTAAATTTTCATTATAGGTGGCACATTGATCATTTAGATGGATTTCATGTTCATTTATATTCAATTAAAATTGATACATGTTCATTCTCTTTACATTATATGTTCATTCTTATATTGAAAGATGTTCATTTGCAATCTAATTCAGTATTATTCTCATATATAAACATGTTTATTTAGATTTATACTTATTCATTCATCCTCACATTAAAAGACATTTGTTTCAATTTTAATACTTGTTTGTTATCTTATTGAAAAATATTCAATTAAATAATAATATTTGTTCGTTCTTGTATTAAAAAATGTTTATTCAAACTTTGATATTACTTGTTCATCTTCATATATAACTATTCTCGTTCATTGTCTAGCAATATGTTAAAATTTGTATTTTTAAAAGTTTATATGTTTTGATTGTTACTAACATTTTACTTTAAAATGTTTTGATCTTTTATCACACAGGTTAATGAAATAAAAAAAAGTTGAAAACGATAATGGATGTATTGATAAAAATATATGTATTAAGGAAAACACACAAACATCATAAGAGTATGTAGAAGGGTATCCATTACAAGGATGATAATTCTACATACTTTTTATGTATACCAAATGTATTAAATTAGAGACGATAATAAATTCATTTTGTAAGACACATATATACTAAGTATATGATATGTACATTTTTGAATTGTAAGGTTTTCACTTTTGATTTTTTTTTTTAAATTTTTTTACGTTTAATTAATAAATTTAGCATACATTTGAAAAGAAAAAAAAAAGTTATGCTTAAGAAACAATGAGTATATAGCACGTTGTATTAACAATATTGAACATTTAATGATATAAAACTGAACATTTATATTTATAAAAATGAACACACACACATATATATGTATATCAAAATGAACATTTTGTATATAATTCAAAACCGAAAATTTATTAGATAACGTCATTATGATGAAGAGGGGGTGCAGGCAGTGCTACCTACATAGGGGGTGTGGACAAAAATTTGTAGAAATGTTGAAAGCATACTTGGGCTCATTTTATGGGCCTTTCACCCATTATCCCAAATATGGGCCTGACAATGGTTTATTTCATCTGAAAACAACTACACCACTTTTTTCCAAGTTTTAGGTGATTTAAGGCTAATGTTTAGTCTTGGAGGCTCTGTTCCTTTAACCCCTAAACAAAATTTGTTCTTATAATTCAAATATTTCTGTAATAAATCTTTCAACTTTCTTTAACTTCTTATCTCCCCTTTACTTTATTTGTCCTGATTTATCTTTTGCATCGTTGTCTAAGGCCTAGAGGTATTAGTTGTATTGCTAAATTTGTGAGTTGTGACATATAAGAGAATTATCACAGGAAAATCGGGATTTAATTTTTTTTTTTTTTTCTTTTTTGACGGAAAAATCATGAAATTGATGTTAGTGTTTTCATAAGATTGGGTAAACATCGGATGAGATTTGGCTTCAATTTGGTACCTTCAGAAGCTGGAATTCTTTGGGCCTTGTGGTAAAAATAAATACTAAAATATACTCCTTGTTCTATTACTGTACATGTCTCTTTTTGTCCCACATCGAAAGAGTTTTTAAACAATGCTTTCTTTATATAGTCTGGTGTCTAACAAAGATTGTCTCTTTGGAGACAACTTAACTGAATTGATTGGACTGATCTGAAATGAATATTATTAAATCAAATTATTCAAAAGATATAATTTAAATTTTTTAGACCTTTTTGCCCCTAACATTGTTTAGTTCTGGAACACACCTACGAAATCCCTCCGTGATGATAGAGTTATGATCTTATATTGCAAAGAACCAAAGAGCATACTAATCTGATTACAAGCCTTCGTAAAACGGGAATGTGATACATATTTGCACCCTAGCTAGAAAGGGGCGATTTAGCTTTTTATCAACTATGTATTTGTTAAGCGCAGTAAGCAGTCTAAGCACCATTGCCATTGACCCACAATGATATGTTATACAATTAATAATTAGTACTCCGACTTAATATTAATATCAATTGATTTACTTTATTACTCCCATCGTCCCAATGTAATTTACTTAATTTGACTGACATATAGGTTTAGTCACATTAAATAACTTCTTATTTTATCGTGTAATAGTTAGTACGTAGATTAATTTACTTCATTTAGTGTTTTGTGAGTAATTTATTTTTGGAGAGAAGTGAATAGAGGATCACTTTTTATATATAATATAAAAATATTGAAAGTATTATGAATCAAAGTGTCCCATGAAAGTAATTTAGTGAGAGAATAGCTATTGAATTTTTTATTAAAAAGAAAAGGAATAAATATATAAATTATTACAAAATTAGAACGGAAGAAATAATGGAAGGAAATAAAACAAAATCAAATTTAGAAGAAAATTAGTCAACTAGCTATTTCATATTTATTCAAAATAATGATACTAAGGCCCTGTTTGATTCACCTTAATTTTGCTGAACTAAAATTATTTTTACTGAACTGAACTTATTTTTATTGAACTGAACTTAATTTTACTGAACTGAAATTATTTTTACTAAACTTAAATTATTTTTACTGAAATGAAATTATTTTTACTGATTTTCTATTATAATTCTTCTTTAAGAAAACTGAATTTTACTGAACTGATTTTATTGTTACTGAACTGAAATTATTTTTACTGAACTGAAATTAATTTTACTGAACTGAACTTATTTTTACTGAACTGAAATTATTTTTACTTAATATTATTTTTTTAAGGTGAAGAGAACAGGGCCTAAGGGCCTGTTCTTATACATTTATTTTCGGTTCATTTCAGTTCAGTTCAGCTCCTTATTTCCTTCTCTTATAAAATGTTCATTTCAGTTCAGTTCAGTTCAGCTTTTAATTTCCTTCTCTTATAAAATATTCATTTCGATTTAGTTCAGTTCAGTTTAATTTAGCTGAGTTTAGTCAATGAGAACAGACCCTAAGTTTATATTATGCTCCTTCCGTTCTCTTTTAAATTATATTTACTACAAGGTGAGATGACAATGACAACAACTGAATGTACCTTCAAGCTAATTAAAGACCAAATGGATACCATAAAACTACAAGCAACATCTCAACATCGAGGTGCAAGCTGCACACGTGTGGCACAGTGCATGTATAGCGCGTGGATTAGCAGATGATCAAGACGTGAAACTTTACATACCAGTTAATGGGCGATCAAGATTGAAGGATATGAAACTAATGAAAGTACCACAGGAATACCGTGGAAACATCCTTTTTAATGCAACTTGTGTAGAAAAGAAAGGAGATGTTACATGTAAACCATTGTGGTATGCTGCGAGTAAGATTCATGAGGCAATTATCAAATTGAATGATATTGAGTATCTAAGATCAGCCATTGATTGTGTGGAATCACACCCAGATCTAACGACTATTGTTCGTGGGCCACATAGTTCTGTTTGTCCAAACATCACAATAACTTCTTGGCTAGATTACCTTGTTATGAAGCAGATTTTGGATGGGGTGGGCCCAAATTTATCGGCATAAATGGGCTCAAATATGATGGTCAAACATACATTACACCAAGTTCAAAAACGGATGGTAGTTATTTGTTTGGCCAAGCTTCTGAAAAACAACTTCTGTTTCCCAGAAGTAGTTTTCCAGAAACTATTTCTAGGAAAACACTTGTAAGAAACAAATTTGTTTGGCCCATCAAAAATCAGAAGTGATTCTTAGATTGAGAAACTATTTTACCTTGTTTGGCCCATATCAGTTTTTTTTTTTTTAAAAAAAAATTATTTGGGAGAATAAACTAGTATTAATTTCTTGTATATTGTTGTTAATAGTAGTTTTTTTTTTTATTATTATTTAAAAAAAAAAATTGGTTAGAAAATTGTTTATAATTGCTTGTAAGATAAAATTTTAATATAAAATTTTGAACAATTCATAAGTCTAAATACTTAGATTTTTAAATTTCATATTAATAATTCATATCCAAAAGTTTCATACGTTCATAATTACAAACATAATGTCTAATATAATTATTCCTAATAAAAGATCCAATAATGTTACAATCAACGACTCATTAGAGAAGTTGCAATATTGTAGCGAATAGACTCCATACTAAAATCATCCATTGATCCATCATGTTCTTCAAGAGTAGTTACCGGGTTGCCTCCAATATCCACATCCCCTTCAACTTCAGGTATATAATAAGGATCTGCATCACATTTATCAAATTCCAAATCTTCAAGCGCGTGTCTTCTTATATAGTTATGCATAGCCATAGTAGCTGCAACAAGTTTCTTTTGAGTTTCCAACGGAAAGCTGGGCATAATTGATAATATCCTCCATCTTTTTTTCCAGACACCAAATGTTCTCTCTATAACGTTTCTCAACGACGAATGTGAATAATTAAAGACTTCATAGAAACCATTTGGAGGTTGTGTTGAACGACGAAAATCAGGAACATGGTATCGTTCACCTTTGAAAGGAGCTAAAAATCCTTTCATATTCGGATAACCCACGTCAACAACATAATATTTTCCTGTACATTGTATAATATTAGATAATGACACCATAGTATATAATAATGGTAACGATTATACACATAATAGTTTCATAAATATATACCTTCGGGTGGATGAGGGAAATATTTCTTGGGGTCTTCCATTGCATCCTTTAAGATTCGATTATCATGAACAGATCCCGGCCATCCAGCAACAAAATATGTAAATAACATGTCAAAGTCACAAATTGCTAACACATTTTGTGTAGGGATACCTTTGCGCCCTATGTAAGGGATTTTATCCTCCTCCGAAACAACACAATGCAATCTGCCTCCCAATGTCACGCTTTATAAATTCTACTAGCATTATATTGACAAACCTTACAACATACAAGCATTTCTCATAAAACAATAATTTAACTTAGACATCATATCAACCATTCCACTATCACCATCCAAAGTAATTTGGCACCAATACAAGCAATTTGAAAATGAAAGAATCCAATTCGAATAATGCTCTGTTTGGATACAAGAGTTTTATTTAAAATTCTAAAACAATTAAGAAAACTTCATAAAACAAAGAAATTGAAATAATCAGTCAAACCTGTTGAAGCTAATAAAAGAAATAAAGAAGAGAAAATAGTTTTAGAGAAACCGAAATAAAATGATGGTCATATTCCACACACTTGCATAAACAGATACATTACATAAGACATCTACCATTCCAAGAAGCTAAAAAAGTAAACAGAATAACAAATTGCTAACTAAGGATATTAGTGAGGAATAAGATCACTTCAAACCTCCATAAAAACACTAGTGCCTACCATAAGAAATGAAGTATCAAACTTATAAAAATTAAAGAAATAAAACTTAAGTACTTAACATATTTTAGGGCTTAAATTATGTAAAATTGATGAGTTATTTACAAAAACTTGCATAATACCTACCTCGCACGCGACACACTCCCTAGCTGCCCTTTAAACCCCATACTCTTTCATCCACGACAACCCAACAACAACACAAATTAAGTTGGAGAATGAGTAAAAATGGGGTTAATATTGATCTCTAGCAAAGAATCTGGGCCATGGAAGACTGTATTGTCATAAAGAAATTCTTGCTAATACATAATTCCTTCTCAAAGCTTTTAATTTAACAACAGACTCAACTATCTAAAAATTTATTTACTTTACAAGCTATTTAGTTTACTTTAATTTCTTATTAACTTAAAAATGTAAACTACAAATTCAAGCTGGAACTTGATAAGAAATTTGATCTAATATATTAACATAGAAGAATAACATACAAGTCGAAACCAACCCAATGAATACTTTATAGAAAATGAAAATAACAAACTACACCTACAAATATGGAACTATCCCATGATTAGAATGCATAAACATAGCCTACCTAACCTCCCACTAACAACATACTCCTAATTAATTTATCCTCACAGAAAATGGACCCTTCAACAATAACTAGCCATAATTGATTTGAATCAATCATCCAACAAAACCATGTCATTTGAAATTCACTACGGCACTACCCAAACACTTGTCATATTAATCCTAGTTCATCCAACTCAATTGAATCAAAATTGAAATGAAACGCCTAAATTGAATCAAAATTGAAAATTTCAAGATCTAAATTCTGGACCAATTCACTAACCTCATTGGCAGAACTTCTTGTTTGTGACATATTGGGATGATTTGGATGAGGAGAACCACTGAGATTTATATCTTTCTCCTATTTCAAAATCAATGCAAAGAAATTAGGGTTCTACCCACAAAAGAGAAGAAATTTCCATAAGTAAAAAAAATTAATACCTTATTATTGCTTGGTTGTGTCCTCTTGGGTGGACGAAATGGTGGCGCCGGAGGACCAGATTGCATGTCGTCGGTGATGATTTTTGGCCTTCAGGGGTTTGTGTTTCAGGAGAGAGAAAGAGCTGATGTTTATGAGAGAGGAGAAGAGAGAAGAGGGGTTTCTTTTTCTTAATGGGGTATAAGAGGTCTTTTTGTGAAATGTTAAAGATATTTTTGTCCAACAAAAAGTTTCATTAAATGGGAAAATAGCTCCCCGAGAAACTGATGTAGAGAAGCTCAAAATTGGTGCTTCTCATTTTGCCCACTCTAGAAGCTGTTTTGGGCTTCTTGAGAAAGTGTTTATGTTTTTTAAAAAACCCTTGTTTGGCCCAATTTCTATTTCTTAGATAAAGAAACCCTTGTAGAAACTAGGCCAAACAGTTACTTAGTGGTTGTGGCACTTTTCACCCCTCATTTGGTCTTGTTTGAAAAGTATTTTTTATAACTTATGGTTTGTGAATGGCTTCATCAAAACTAGTTTTATTTAAAAATAATAGTAGTAGTAGTAGTAGTAGTAGTAATAATAGTAATAGTAAGTTATCTATGTCCAAAAAAAAATGTTATCTAAGTTTAATAGAGATATTGTTATATATACCCGGGTGTACGTACTCATTTTGATTATTGTTTTTCATTTTATCATCAAATGAAGAGCAAAAACTAATCTTAGGTTAGTTGGGTGTATGGTGCACCCGATGCAACAAATTCTAAGTTTAATGTCTTCTGAACAAAAAAAAAAAAAATGTTATTTAAGTTTAAAGTATGATGTCTAAAATTGGATGGAAAATAATATTGTAAAATTTAGACTGAAGACTAGCCATTAGTGAAATGAGAAGGATGAATAATAAATTATTATATCCCTTTAAGTATTATTGCATTCCTCTTTGGAAACTTTCCAAAAGTTCTTATCAGAAATGTTTCTGCTAGAAATAACCTTATTATATCGTAGAATTTATATTGTTAAATTTCTAATTGTCTATGTATAAATGCACCACTATTTATGTTTTAATTATATTAGTATTTACCCTTTTCAATAAGCAGTATAATCAGTAATCACAAGCATACTAGCTAGTTCAAAACTGTTGAATGATAAAATCTTCCGTTTATCAACTACCAAGGGCAATCAATTTGGTCTAAGGTAAACACATTTAGGCTTTTTTTAGCTGGTTTTTGTTTTGTTTCATTATTTGTCCTAATTTATCTTTTGCATATTTGTTTATGTTTATTATAGAGGAGTGATCAGAATTTATAGAGATAATTTAACTAAGTAGAGGTGAAAAATAATCTGAGATACAGTTTATCAGTTTCGGTCACATTCGTGTCAGGAGGAGTAGAAAAGAACAATCAACAAAAACAAGTACGCAAACTATATGGGATGGAGGCCTAAGCTTGAAGGATTAATAGTGAAAATCATAGATAATTTGTTCATATCATAGAATTATAGAATTGTCAAAGTAATTCATGATATTGATGTTAGTATTACCGAAAGATTGGGTAAGATCTGATGAGATTTGACTTTCATTTGGTACCCTCACATACTTAGATGTATAGTCTCTTTTTGTCCCACATTGATAGATTGTTCTAAAACTACTTTCTTTATATATCGTGGCGTCTAATAAGGGTTGTCTCTTCGGAGACATCTGATAAAATTGGAACGATACAGAGAAGATTAGCATGGCCCCTGCGCAAGGATGACACGCACAAATCGAGAAATGGTCCAAATTTTTTTGACCTTTTTGCGCAGAGCTCCTGGCAATCTGGTATGGTAGTGAATTATCGACTTCACTGGAGTATTAACATTGCTGTGACAAATTTAAGATCAAACTAATTGATTTGCTTATTGAAGTCGAATGTATCTGTAATACAGTGGGAAAAAGATTACATTAGCAAAGCCAGCAATACCCTTGAATATCTGAAGCAAAGATTACATCAGTAAAACCCTTGCAAATCTGTTAATTTTTTTTGTTTTTGAACTATTGCAAATCTGTTACTGATGTAACCAGAATTACTAACTAGTAATTTAGAAGACATGTCAGACCATTGTTTCTAAATTCATATCTGATAAATTGAATATAGAAATAGAACTCGTAATTGATAATGGTTGAAAGCTTTTAGGTGTACATATAGCCTTTATTCTAGAAACAAATAATGTGTGATAAACCACTAGATTACATGACTTCTAGCTCTATATTTTATTGTTACTCAGTAATACATTAATTTATGTAGTACTTTAGACAACAGAATGGTGTTACCGAGTAAGAGAGCTGATGTTCCACATCGAAACAAACAAAGAGGATACGGCAACTTCAGGATACAAAGCGCAGGATTTGAGACCAAACAAATCATACCTTTCTCGGCCTTTTGGCTAAGATCAAGTGTAGTATCTGTTCTTATCAGTTTAATATCTGATACGTGGGTCAATGACCCACAACGATATTAAATTTATTTTTTAAGGGGGAGGATCCACCACAGTAGCTTGCTGCTGGGATTCTCAAGTGTCGCCCATGCGTTGCACTATTGCACGGGCCTGGCACACCTCACTACATCATTAAATCAAATTTCTTAGCTTATTTATTAGGGGGGTCTATCTTTTCCATGTTTAGACTTGATTCTTGTAATGTGCTTTGCAATTTACAACGTTTTTAGATTTTGGTATTTTAGATCATTCTGAAATGTACTTAATTGTTACAGGATCTGTCACAAAACTTGATGGTTTTTGCTTCAAAACAGGTCAATCTTCTACAGCTTAAAGTTCCGAAATCAATTGATATATATAGAAAGATGCACCTTGTCACTAATTACCACTTCTATTTTGATGGTCTGGTGAAGAGTTTTATCACACCTCTTGCAGGTTGCTACATAGCAAATGATATTAAAGCTCGTTTGCATACAAGATGTCTATTTGGCTGGAGTATGCTCAGTTGATCTATCCAATACTCGTATAGTATTAATGCGTCCAAATACATTAGCAAAATCTATCCAAAAAAATTGAACTGTTACCCTGAAAGAAAGAAAGAACGCAAGAATCATCCTTACTCAACTACGGAGTATTTTGTTTATACTATGCAATAAATCCTACAACAGAACTTAATGCTAGTAGCTGACAACATTTCAGAATTCAGACTGCAAATGCTGGAAGCTCCTGTTTAAGGAACTTCCTCCAAAAAAAATATAACTATATAAGCCACTGACTGCAGCAAGCACAAGGTATTCTTTAGTAAAAGGCGAAAGAATGTATAGTTCGCTCTCTGCATGGCTGCTTAAGTTGTACAGAGTTTTTACTAAGTAATATGAATAAGTATAATGCATTCCTGGCCATAGATAACTATTTCTTAAAGCTATATAATGGCAGTAGAAAACCAGGCAACTTTTCCTTTGCTCTTTCTGGTATCAGATAAATTGATTTGATTGCCTGCTAGCTTCAGTCCTTTGCATCAGCGATTCCACCTGGTGTAATCTGAAATACGTGCTGGTGTCAAGGTGTTAACATTGGTGAAGATGCAGAATGTTTCAATTTGCACTAAATAGTAGCGCAAGTGTCAATAGAAAAAGGATATAGCTTCGGCCTCTGGCAGATTTGGGGCATCAATCACCTTGCAGATACGCTGTTCACCCTTTCCCTTCCTGAACATCAACCTTATTGTTGATGCATGGGCTAAGACATGACCGCCTGCTGGCTTCTTAGGGTCTGTAACAAAAACTCCTCCTGCTGGATCAGCGATAACTGCAAGCAGCATCTGATTAGTTGGCTAGTGTTCAATGGTTTGATCAACAATTATTTGCATAAATCACTACTCATGAAAATCCAAGTCAGATTGGTTGAGGATTTTTGGAATAACCTTGATTAGTAAGATATACAGCAATGTTGAACTCTTCAGCAATTTTTATCAAACGAGACAGCATTTGGGCCAGTTTTTGCTGAAAATGCAATTAAATTCTTGTCAAGATATAGAACTAAGCAGAAAAATGAATGAGAAATTCACTGCATCAAGGAGGTCCTTCAAGAGTTCATACATATTTGTGTATCCTAGATAGTGTTTAATAATGTAGATTGTTTCATATCTTTCAACAAATTACCTGTCGGTCTGCAAGCTCTCCTCTTCCAGAGAAATCCACTCGGAAAAGAGCAATGACAGAATCTACAATCTAAAAAATCAATGAAAAATTCATGTTAGCCAAGAATTTTATGAGAGGATTTTTCTGGCTACTTTTTTTTTTTATAAGAAATTGCGAGTACTCACCAGTAATCTGAAGGGTTCCTCAGCCATTTTTGCAGCCAAGCCGAGGAGGAGATTGTGCTGATGTTCATACGTATATGCACGTGCATATATGATCTATAGGATTGTAAGATAAAAAAAAAAAAAGTCATCATGTGATATATAATTCAGACACAAAAATAAGTGGTTAGGTTGCTTTTTACATTGTCTAGGACAGCAGCAGCATCCATCCCAAACCTTTCAGCAATTGGCACAATACGATCAGGTCGACTGTAGTGTAGTAAGTGAAGAGAAAACTCTTTTAAAATGTACTTCATTTGCAGAATTTTAATCTGTTTCTGTACTCCAAAACTAAATAGAATGACAGGAGAGGATACAAAGTTCCTTCAGTGTCGATGTAGGCAACCTTCCCATTTCCTCCTTTCATGCTAGTCGGAAGCTGCAGGTAAGCATTGAAAAACAAGTAAATTTTACCTCTAACTTGAGACTTCTACCCTCAAGGAAATCAAAACACATGTTTACATCAAAGACATGCATGGACAATTTATCCTTCATTAACAGAACATGTGAAACCATTCTCACTCTCTTAAAAAAGCAACTGAGACAACGTGTCGCCGACTTACAAACTCAGTAATACAGGTACACTATCTTCCTAATTTGTCAGTGAGCACCCTTCAGTTTCCTGAAAATCTGATTCTAGGGTTGAAATGTTCGACTAAACTAGCATATTAACTGAAACAGTGAAACCTGACTGTTAACAACCATATAGATCAGAGGTTGTAAGCACTTTTCTACTTCCATCATACTGCAATCCCAACCAAAATATGGTCTAAACTAGTGGTTATTTCTTGTTAGTTGCTGATTAAACTTACTGCCTACCGAAATTTAGCTGTTTCAGATCATAAATCTGGCATACAATAAAAGATTTACCTGTGTTGAGACGCATAGAGTATGTGCTAGCTGAGTTTTTCCAGAGCTGAGCAGAATCAATTATCAAGCCATGAGAGGTCAGAAAAGTAGATATGTAACTTGTTAACTAGTCAGCATAGTCAAATTTGCTTATGAAAAGTATATAATCAATCATAAAGTCTAAAAATGTAGTCGATCAGTCATTAAAACCAAGAAGAGAAGTACAAAATTTGAAAATTAGTCAGCTAGTTATTTTCTGAGCAAAAATTGATTCAACATACACAGAAACCACGGAAACGTTGCCACACCAATTAAAGATTCAAGATACTGTTAAGGGTCCTCACCGGAATTCTCCAAATGTTTCAGTAATTGCTGATGTTTCGATTCCACCTTTTCCAATGAAACATAATAAGAGTGTTAAACATACAAATGAACTCTAATATTTGCCAAGATGCTAGTAATTTGAATAAGAATAAAATGACTTATACTGATCAAAACAGCATATAGTTACCTCCTAATAACTCGTCTAATGACTGGCTTCCAGTGGTTATGCGAACCACAGATTTTCTCTATTGCAAATAACAATTATGATAGAATTAGAAGTAGTAAAACAGCTAAAACTACACAATTGGAATTCAGAATTTTAAAATTTGTAGAGAACAGCAACTTACTTTGAGCAAAGCATCACTTCCTGTGATGTAACCATAATTCTGGATAAATTAAAGCAGAACATTAAGATTTGATTAGCTTCGAAACCAATACGATAAGCCGATCAATTGAGAAATATGATTGCAGAGAACGTACCACAATCTTCTCAGCAGCTTCGCATATCTTATCAACTTTAGCCTCAGACAATCCCTTAATACCAGTCAAATTCTACACACACAAACAAAATTAGGAAAGATGTATTAAGAAATCTCAAAGGAAATTGTATAATTCTGAATTCAAATTCAAAGTAAAAAAAAAAATAAACAAATGATGTAAGACCTTCTTCGTCTGCATCATCAAGCCATTACAAGTGTATATTCCAGCATCCTGAAGCTTCTTAACATCTCCAGCATTGATTCCATGTGCAATCACTAGTGAAAAATAATTTCTTAATGTTAAAGTTATACGCCGAAAAATTGAGAATAATTTGGACGGCTTTAAGCATTCATCGCGATAATTTTTCAAATTAGACGAACTAACAAGAAATTTTCTGATGAACTACGCATATCGGAGCAATAGTTATTTAAAATTCACACACAAACACAAATTTAAACAAAGTAAGCGTTTGGCGCCAAAAACACAGTATCATTTCAGCTTCATGACAATATAACGATTGAAACGTATAATTTGAAGTTCTACGAAATTTGAATTTGTATGCATTTCAAGAGAAAAATTTAACGAAGTTCAATATGAGCTATGAGATTCAACTGTTCAGCGCGATAAATTAAAAACTAGAACAAATAACTAGAAAAATTTTAAAAGTAATTCAGACTCAAGTTTATCAAGTAATCGAAAGTAGAAACATAGAATTTCAGATAAAATCGGAGTAATCTCTATGAATTAAGCGATTAAGCTATGTTTCAACAAAATTTAACAATAACAGCTAGAAAAACAGAGTGTAAATTCAGCTTTCCAAATTTATGCAACTGGAATTCTTGAGCAATTTTTTTATAATTCAAATTCATACCAAATTCAAGTAAATCGCTACAAATTTAGAGAGATGATCATACATTTATCAATAGCTTCGAACAAGTCTTCTTCATCTTCGATTTCTTCTCGTTGAACAAGCTGCAATTGCTGGCTCTGTTCTTCAGATCTGCATCAAAATTCAAAAACACAAATAGTCATCAACATATAAAAAATTCTTCAGATCATTATTATGCAGAGAATTTCCAGTTGCAGAAGAGAACTTACTTGAGTGCGTACATTTCCGGCATTGTAGAGAGAAAACTTCGACGATTTTTTGAAGGAACTTCAGTTTTAGAGAGAGAGAGAGAATGAGGATTTTAGAGAGAGAAATAGAGAAATTGTAATTGTGAATTTGTTAGTGGTTTCGCTCTTCGGTGCTCCGGAAGAACCCTTTTTATAGGTGTGGAATGTGGATTAGGCGCGGAATTAAATGGAATTTGAAGTCGCTCTTATCAGTTTTTGGTTCAAAATTTTGATGACGTGTGAAATGTAATAAATTTCAGGTAATTATATGTTGAAATTAAAATAAAAAAAAAATAAAAAATGGAATGGAAATCAAAAGTTTGTGCTTATAATTGCTTGCTAATTTGTTATGGTGTTGCTAATTGGTTTATTTTTTGGGGAAGGTTGAAGATATACAAGTTATTCTTCACTGATTGAGGCATTAGAGTAAATTGATAAATAGTGAAATAAAAGACAACAATGTTGATCACGTGACTTGAGTTGAATGAAAAATAGAAAGGAAAAAAAGGTGAATATTTAAGAAATATTAACTTTTTGTGATGACTTTGAAAAAAAAAATTAGAATGTTTAAACTTTAAAGTAGTGAATTACATTTGAGATTCAGAATGATATAAGAGATTAAGGCCTTGTTTACTTCACCTTATTTTTACTTATTTCAGAAAAAATAAGTTCAGATCAGAAAAAATGTGTTTAGATAAAGAAAATCGGTTCACATCAGTTCATCATTTTATGTGTAGTTTTTTGTCGCTAAATAACTTTAATTTCGTAATGAAAAAAATTCTGAAAATCACATATTAATAAAATACACATTATTACGAATCTAACAAGATCCCACTTGATATATTTTTTTAAAATATATTATTATTGTATATATAAGGTCAAAGTTTGGTCAAATTTGACATTCAAATCAAATCAGACCAGATCAGATATGTTCAGATAATCAAATATAAGACGAACTAAACAGGTCTAAGTGTCAAACACTCAAACAGTGAGTTAGAAAGTTAGAATTATGAGGATATATTTTTTTTATGGTGTATAACATAAGCTTAATTGAAAATTTGGTACTACTTCATCAGTGTTTAATTAGTGTTACACTTTGACCAAATATTGACTTTATCTAATTGTATGTTATTTAGTAAAATTATAAGAAAATTGATATTATAAAAGTATACATTATAACGAACCCAACAATCTATTAATACAATAACATTATTATTTTTTTAAATTAGTAAATTAATCAAGTCAAAATCATTGTGTGAGTCGTGAAAAAAAAAAAATCAAGTGTAGCACTCATAAAAATGTGAAGAGAGTAAAATCAGATTGTTGAAACCCATTGTAGCCCACTTGTGAGTGTCCCACATTGGAGAAAGAGGAGAGATAGTTCCACTATATAAGGTAGAGGAGTTACTCCTACTATTGCCAATTGGTTTTAGTATGAAAGCTCCAAAGCCTTGTTTATGGACCAAACTCTCTTTATAAGGTAGAGGAGTTACTCCTAAGAGAAAGTAATAAAATAACATGAAAATCAAATATTTTTATGGGGAAGCTAATTTTGCACAAATATTGTTGCAAATTGGTGGTGTTTTAATGCAAATGGGTCATTCTTTTTGGGGACAAAGTTTTGGCCAAATGAGTCGTTCTTTTTAGGACGGAGTGAGTAGAAGTTTGGTTAAGGCTGACTACATCAATTTTATAATCGAGACTTTAGTATCTTTACCAAAAATAAAGTAACAATAATAATAATTTACCGACAACTGTAAACCGTCAATACTATATTGTTGTTAGTACAATTTTAATTTTTAAGGTCCTCATTAATTTGTGACGGACCGACGACTCTAAAGCGTCTGAAACTGTCGGTAAATAAACATTTTTTGTAGGGTGGGAACTATATTATGAAATGGAGTTAGTACAAATTTGACTTGTAAGATCAATATTTTAAATGCTCATTTTAGGTTGGATAATTTCGCCTATATTTCAGTTAAGGATTAATAAATAGGGCATGACCTGAATTAGTTATTTTAGGTTGGGTAATACATAATTTTCAATGTTCTTGAGCTTCACACTCAAAAGTCAAAACCAGTATCATCGATTCAGTTTTCATATCAAGTTAAAATTATCATGTCTAGTTTTGAATTATGATATGAAGTATATTCCTATGCAAGAAATATACCGTGTATTAATCTTATTCATCACTATATATGCCTTTTTTGGCGTTAATGTTTGAAGTAATGGTTAACATTTTGATTGCTACATTATCTTTTAGTCTTATTTAGTAAAAGTCAGCAATTAACTGAAGTACTATAATAAATTTTAATTCCTAAAAAATAACGAGGAAGCCCAGTTTATCTCCTTGTTAAACAAAAGTCATTGATCACATGAAAAATTGTAATAAATCAACAATTTTGCCTAAACCATTAGGACATATTTGTGAAAAAATCAACTATTGCGAGGTCCAATATAGTATATTTGTAAATAAATTAACTATTGTGGAGTTGACAAAAATATTATTAATTGTACTAGTATTTTTTTTTTTTATTGGTGTTCCATCCCGTTCACCAGATCGAACACGGGTCCTTCCTATCAAATAAAGTCTCAATCACCACTACACCAACCGCAATTGGTACTCGTATTAAATTATTAGCATAGATAAACCTGTATTTTATCCCAAAAAAAAAAAAACCTTGAATTGAATAAAAGTAATGGGTTAAAGCCAAAAATTCCTCCCCTACCCTTTGGTTTTACTTGCACTCATTTCCCTCCTAAATCTTCGAGCTTTGCATTGACACTTTTGACATGACAAGACAATAGTGGCAGCGTCAACCCTCACGCTATAGCACCACGATCATCCTAGTATTATTTGATCAAAATTTGGGGTTAAGATCATTTTCAAGGTGAATTAGTACTCTAGATCATTTTCTGTTAAGATCAAAATTTGGGGTTAATTTCTTCTACTGTCTAACAGTACTATCGCGCATCAATCGGTGCTTGCGGACTTAGGTAATCCATAGTTTTGCTTCTCCTGCTTTCATTTTTTTTTTCTTCTTCTTTATTGTTGATTTGATTGTACCCTAACCTATTTATGGTTTATAAAATTATGGGATGTAAACATGTAGTTTTATTTGATTATTTTATCTAAGGTAGAAGATCGTGAAATGGACGAATTTTTAAGCTAATAATCGTGATATATGGTTTTGATGCGTTACATTTCTCCTAATTGTGTATTTGGCTTGTTTTAGTGTGATTATACTTGTTTACTACTCCGTAGCTTTTTTTTTTTTTTTTTTTTACTTGATGATTTTTATTTTAAATAAAAAATTACTTGTAAATGGGAGTAGTTGTTAGAATTTGAGGAGGTCTGATGGTTTAAATCTTGTTTAGTTCATCTTATTTCCATTTATATTAAAAAAAAATAGCTGATTTACTTAATAATTAAACAAGCTTAGAAGAAATAAGTTAGATGCGGTATTCCTCACAAAAAAAAAAAAAAAAAAAGTTAGATGCGGTCAAATTAGGGTTACCCAAGTTTAATTTATAACTACAAAAGATTAGTTAAGCTCATATCTTTCGAAATTGAAAATCGAATAAGGTATGTTTTTGAACCAGTACCCCTTTTGCCTAGGCCCTAAAATATGTGACCATTGAATTATCATTTTTTTTAACCATTGAAAGAAGTATCATTTATTTTAGGAAATTTTATCAAAACCACCTGAATTCTTGAGCACCTGAATTCTTGAGTTATTTATTTATTTTTGTGAAAAAAACACCTTTTAAAAAAAATGTTGTAAATAACTACCCAATATAATTGCGACTAACAACAGAATAAATGACAATTGATGGAAAATGCAATTTAAATGAGGTGTAAGTGGACTTATATGAAGTCGAATTGTAAAAGTACATTGGTAATTGGAAATTTGGAATCAAGTGAAATTGCTCAACTAAAAAAAATTAATACTCCGTACAAAGTATTGCATTTGATATTTGTACAATATATTATTGTACTCCGTAGCGAAACTACATTGTAAAATTTTTGAACCATTTTCTCATTATCCACATGAGCATGTCCTTTCATGGTGATGATTAGAGAAAGTTAGAAGTTGTAATCAAAGTTCAACATATCTTTTTGTTTTGCTAGTATATCGTAACTAATTTAGAAACTTGCTACTATATAACTATAGTAGAGTGCTTATGGGGGAAAGAATGTAATTGTACTTTAATCTTTGCCATGAACCAATACATACTTATAGACACCAGTTCTGGCGGTATATAATATCATGGTTTGTTGGACAATGCTTATAATTCAAAGCTTTTGAATCCCAATCACTTATAATTTGGGGTTGTCTCTTGGCCAATCGAGTTTTCTTGACTGGTACATGAGCCAGAAATTGGATTTTCTGTGAGAAAATTTTCTGGACAACTGTCTACACTTCGCTTGTGATCATAAATGTAATACATTTTTTTTATCCTTCCATACATCTACGTCAGCTCTCTTCTTTCATCCAAGCTTGTGCCTACACTTTATAAGTTCATAGGATATCTGCCTGGATTTGAGAACTTATAAGTATAGCATAGAATCCAGGCTAGAATTTGATTGTCCTGCCCTGTTATATACGTTAAGGCTTGCTAATAGGGGTAGATTAAACAGAATGATGCCCATGTTCTTTTCATGTCACATACTTTTTGCATTTTTGATTGATATTGTAGCACTTGGTGTGTGATTAGTATAGCACATGCTGAATGACATAGTTTTTAAGTAAGAATTGGGTTACATAATGTTGATTTTACTATGTTGTTGGTGTTTTGGATTGCTTCCACTAATAATTTCTTCTTTGTAAGGTTTTAAATTGAGTTTTTTCTTGCATTACTTCAGACTATTTATCTAAGGGTTAAAATATGGATGAGAAACGAAAAAATGTGCAGCTGGTTTAGTGAATCATTTCTATAGCTGATCATAGAAGTTGCCAAGTTGGTGGCCAGTTCCCGGAATCCTGGACCTTGCCTGACAAAAACTGCTTTTTCCGGCTAAATGAATTTCTTTTCTTTTTTCTTCATATGCTGTGTAAAGAGTCCCTTTTCCGCTTTGGTTCAGCTACTCTTCTCTTTCATTTTTCCAGAAAACACTGTCGATAGCTACTCTAGCTTCTGCAATCTGCGTTACCACCCACCCCTCTGAAAAGTCAGTTATTTTTTCATATATCAAGCTGTCAGCATTTTTGTTGAGTGCAACTGGGGATTGAGAATGTAACTTAAATCTACTTCTTTCAAACCTTAAGCAGACATCAGTAACTGCATAAATGGCAGGGTTACTGAATCCTTAGCCGCATTGCTATTATGCTAATGAGATGTTGGCCATATGCCATTATGTTGAATACATAATAAGTCTTTGTTTTGTAGTCTTAAATAACTTTCTCAAAAGAGCATGACCTTGATGCATTATAGCTTATAGTGTAAAAAGTGTGTTTGTGAAGATATTTCTTGTTCCATATGGAGCCTTTCCTCTCTGTGCTCTAGAAGCCATTAAACTTAACTAACCTAATGACCAATTTAAGTTGTTGGATAGGCTTAAATTGTTTCTTGTTGAAATCTATGGAAGACATTTTCTCTCTTGGAAACTGATACATCATCTAGGCCAGTGCTCAGTGGCTTTATACTTCCACATTTTTTTTTGGTATCTTTCATCTGATGTTGTTGTCTTACTCAAGATAAAAAGAAAAGAACAGCGAGGGTCCTTAATCTACTATCAGCACATGCGTTTCCTTGGATCTATAAAATAAACATTTGATTCTAAGATGAACATGTTGCCTCCGCACTCTCAAGCATTTTCTTGTTGTTTTGTTACTTCTGCTCCTTCTTGAACTTGAATGGTTTTGCCATCCTTTACTTATGTTCTGACATGATCATATTTGTGATAAGTGGTCCAGCATATTTGATAGTGAATTATTCTATACTTCCATTAATTGCCATGGCAAAGTATATTGCAAGGTTTGCTCTAGAATTGGCACACCATTGGAGTTTACTTGGCTGGGGTGTACTTAAAAGATTGGATAGAAGAAATAAATCAAACTAAATGAGGATCCAATGAGATGTAGTTGGCCTTGGTACCCTGAAGTGTTTTTTGGTGGGAACAAGCTGCTCTGTATTAGGTTTACTTATGAATTGTGTTTTTGAGCAGCAACATGTTATAATAAAGTCCCACAGTATATAAAGGCACTTTTCTATTTATAATGCTCATCATCGATATAACATTGTCTCTACCAAGACATCTGGTAAAGTTGGAATGATACAGAGAAGATTAGCATGACCCATGCGTTAGGATGACACACACCAATCAAGAAATGGTCTAATTTTTATTAAAAACTTTGTTCCAGGTTATTGCTTCACAATGATATCATGAGTAATTTTCATTTACTAGAAATGCTCTTTATGATGCTTTCTTTTAATTATTTGTTTCTGTTATAATCATATGACGATCTGAGTCATATGTACGTAGTATATGGCTTCCAGGTAAGGTGCAGACACATAACTGTCTTTTGGATTTTTTAGACAGTTGTTATTTCTGTATAAATTTGTTTCATGTATTATTTCTGTACTGACAGTGATGAATATTGAGCAGAATGAGGCTGGGAATGGAAGAATAACATGGTTCATGCACAGAAATGATACCAGCAAAAGGAAAAATACTTCATGTATGTGTCCCTAGTCTCTCTGGAATTTTTATGTTTCCTTTACCAATCTTTAAGCCTGTTTTCTGAACTACTGTCACTATATTTTAAATTTTCCTTTTTAATATTGACGGATTGCTTGAATTGGCTCTACTTTCTGAGTGCCTCAGACTGTTGCAAAGTATCACAAAAAAGCTTATCACTTCAGTGACTGTTGCAAGGTGTCATCATAAAAGCTTATAGTTCTGATTTTCTATGTTTGAGTTGGTGGTCGCATGAATATTCACCTCTTGATTTTTGATAACCAATAAGCTGGGGAATTGACTAGTTATTAAGCTGTCTATAGAAAACTTGCACTTGGCTTGTGGGAAGCTCCTTTAAGGAACTCCCTCCAAAAATAAACGTATGCCACTAAATGCAGCGAGCACACGGTATTCTTTAGTAAAAGGCGAAAGAATAGTTCGCTCTGTGCTCACTACATGGCTGCGTGAATTTTACAGTAACAGGCTTTGTTATTTATACTGTAAAGTCCAAAATTTAGATCTTCTTTCTTGACTGATGTGGGACTTTTGTGATTTTTCCTTGTATCTTATTGTGATCTGTGAAATATAATTTCAGAGAGTAGGAATGTAACTATTGTGACTTTTTCATAAACAAAGAAATTTCTTCTCTTGCTTTATTAAGTGGGGAGGACTCTACCGAGTGACAATGCCATTTGTTAAATGTTACTTCCTACTGTTATACACTGAAAATCTGACTTGTATACTTTACTGATGAAGAGGAAATTTTAAGGGAGAAAGCTTGGAAATTTGATTAACAGATTAATGATTTCTTACAAAAGGTAGTAGGTTTAGCCTAGAAAGCTCATATCAGTGACTTGAGGTCACAACGCTCCTAATAGCGACTTAAGGTCACAACTCTCTTAATAGTGACTTAAGGTCACAACTCTCCTAATAGTGACTTAAGGTCACAACTCTCCTAAGGAATCACTCCAAAATTCTGCCTACCTTCTACTTTCCCTCCTCTATCTATTTTTACTAAAGCTAAAGACTCTAACCTAATAATATTAGACTTCCCAAATTACCCCTCCTAAGATAAGTCTATTGCACTTTCATAGATAATTATCTGAACTCTTTTTTGTTTTTTTTTTTTTTTTTTTTTTTTTTTTTTTTTTTTTTTTTTTTATCTTTCTTTGTTTTGAGTTTTTCTGCTAATGGAAACTTGATATAATTCAGGCCATCAGGGCTGAAAAATGGTGAATAAAGAGATTCATCTGACCCCTCTAGATTGCTAGAGTTTGTGCTATGGTTACGTTGAGAGAACACCTTTTGAATTTGGAGTTTTAAAATGGCACAAATGTATTATTTCATAGATGTAATTTTATGTTATTACAAAAATATACTTGACCCAAATATAGTGAAGTCTTTATTTCAGAATCTGTAAAACTTGATAGACCCTAGAAAAATTAGACACAATTAGGCATGTGTAGGAGCAACTTGCTTCTTTGCCAACTCATCATATATACTCCCTCCGTCCATGAAAAATCTTTTTGTTAGACTTCGGCGCACATTAAGGAATTTAGTAGGGTGGGGTGAGAGTAAGAGAAAGAGAGTTAGTAGAGGGATCTACTGTACATGATTTGAGTGAGAAAATTTTCTTTTTTCAAGTAATAGGAAACTTTTTTGCAGACATCTTGAAAAGGAATACAAGAAAGATTATTTGTGGACAGAATGAGTATAATATATGTTGGGCTATTTACATTTTACCTATTTGGACTTATGCTTTTTTTATTTGAAAATCAGGAGTGTGCAGGGCATCTGGGTAAGCAGGCTCTCAATAACACAAATCAATGCATTAAAATTTTGGACATAGAACTGGTCAGGGGTTGCGCGAACGCAGACCCCCACTATCACAAATTATGACGTGCACTCTTCCTCTTGGGAAGATGTTAGGCTAGCACCCCTCCAAGTGTGCAATGGAGGCCACCAACCTAGGCCATGAGCCTTCTTGATCGCCCATTGACCCCATCCAGGTAAGTATGTTTCTTCACATTCTACGCTTTCATTTTATATCTATGATGCTCTTATATATCTGTTATTACATTGATGTGGGACAATAAACAAATTTCCTAAAACTTTTTTGGAAAACCTCAAAATGGAACAATATAGTTGGTATAACCGTGTAAAAGTCAACAAGATGCTTTTGGCGTTGAATTTAGCTTTTATGGCCATCCAGACATAGCTGTAACTAACTTCCTAGCTATACTTTACCATATGATCTACAAAATTTTACCTGTCTATACTGATAACAGTTACAAGTCAATAACATTAATGTAGTGGTCCATTATGGTGTTTAGACAAGTATGGAATAGAGGAACCAAGTTCAAAACCTCGTCTACCATTAGGTACCTGGTCTATGGATGGTTCATGGGTGGTACTTGTGTCTGATGCTCTGAAGATACAACTGCTGATTTTGTGAATAATCTTTATAGCATCCTTTTGTTAAGAGTTTATTTATTCTAGTTTACTTCCACTATACTAATTACTTTTATACAAGAGAGAAATACTATCTACTTGTAAGAGGATCTCTAGTGGATGGTTCTTGAAAAGCTGTTTAGATTTCACATTATTGGTGGTATTTGGTTCTGGGAATTTTGTGTTCAGGGAGGCTTGTATATAGGATTTTTGTGTGGTGAGGAGATTGTTCTTTTACGTTAAAGTTTGTATGTGTGTTTGCCACTGTTGTTTTTCTTTGATTTCTTTCATAAATATAATTTGAGTGCTACAGAAAAGTGAGAGAACCACATAAACATGTTACAGTTCTTCTTTGCTTTGACAGGGCTTAATATTATGTGCCCTGTTAACCTGAGAAGACTATGCTTCAGGTGAGATCAGTAAAAGTTAATGAATCGAAAGTTAATGTGGTTATATTTGATGGCATTACATACTGCGGTTGTTCATTTGGAAAAGGTTAACAAGCTAGATTGTTTTGAAGTTATTATAGTTTGAAAGCTTTTGATGGTCTGCTTTTGTTTTTGAGGAGAGCCCAGAATCATTTCATCTATATCCTTTTTTTTTATTCAACCAGCTCAGCTTCTGGTTCCTATTTTGTTTGAGGATGCTTTTATTCTTAGCTTCCAGTCTCATGATATTTGGTTTTATTTTTTCTTACAATTTGAACAAACGATGATATATGGTTTCAAAGAAACATGAATTTTGCCTTAGCAGGCTGTAGGCTTGTGGCCTTATGCTTAATATGCCATAAGGATTAATCAGCTGTAGTTGCAATAAGCTGGATGACGTAATGGATGTGCCCTTTAAGTTTAGCTACACATTATTAGTGAACTACATGAATTTGTGTGTCATTTGCTACTTTATTGCATCCATTAGAACATTTGCCAGTCACTCATTTAATTAAGTGAAGATAATGCTTTGTACTGGAAACTTTGTCAAAGATAAAGCTTGTCTGTGATGGTAGTTGCTCACTAACCTTTGCTAGTCCTTGATGAGCGATTTTTTAATATTTTGGACAGTGCTTAGTGGCAATAAATTTTGTCTCTAGTTTTTGTTCCATTTATCTGCTCTTATTGCTTTACTTCATGAAAAACAAGTAGGCTCCTAACTTTACAAAAGCTGTGTGTGTGTTGAAAGGCACTAGTTGTTTAATTTGTATCTGGTAAAATTGTGTCTGTGATCATCTTATAAATTTTTATGATGAATTACAGGCTTAATCTTTGATTGGAAATTTTTCTTTTTAATAGATCATTCCACGTGTTGAATATTGACTCTGTCTCACACAGGCTGGAGATGGTTGAGGCTGGAATGATCAGAAATTTGATAGAGGATTGAAAGGTTAAACAAAGCATACTGGTACAGCTTTCTTTCTCTTTTGGCAGTAAAATCAATTTTAGTATCTAATATTAAGATTTTATCAGCAAATCAGCGGAGTAGTTGATTGTGGGTCATTCACCCACATTGATGTTAGATTAATTCAAGGAGGAGACTCCATAACTGTAGCTTGCTTACCTGGATCTTAGAGCATTGCCCATGAATTGCATTACTACACGGGGTTAATTCGTTAAATACACCCCTATGGCTCAGGGCTTGGAAAACAGTTTTAAAGGTGTTAGGCTGTTGAAACTTACTCTAGCAATTTTGACAACACCAGTGTTTGTTGTATACAACTCTTTTGTCAACGGCATGTATGCTTAATCCTTTAGTTAGGGTCCATATCTACACTTGAAGTATAAAACCAGTATCTTAAAGAGCATTGAGAGCACTTCCAAAGCATACCTTGTCATTATTTAAAACGAAATTGATAATTAGATGGAATTATATGAGTTGTTAGTAATTTAGAATGGTAATAGAAAAACAAAGTTTGGAATGAAATTCTAGCAACATGTGTGTAAATTTGGTTCACATTAAACTAAATATGAGTAAGTATCTCTTTCAAAAAAATATGAGTAGGTCATCCACCTCAGAGTTTATAAATTTTTTTTTATCCAATTTGGTTTTAAACACTTCAAACAAGGTCAAATGGAGTCATCTTTGCTAGCTGTTCAGAATGACAGGAATTGTTTCATGTCAGAGTAGTGGAGCTTATTGCCAAATTTCCCCTCTATGGTGGATCAATCCTATTTCTTGTACTGTGTATTGTCTGAATGGCTCTGAAGTTATTTTCAAAAAAATAAAAACAAATAAGAAACGCATAGTCTTAAAGTCACTCGTACTTGGTGACAAATCGGAGAATTTTCGAAATATTGGTGAGGTTTGTATTGGAACATGTACTAATGGTACTCTTGATGTTCTTAGAAAGTAGTTTACTTAAAAGATAGGGCATGGTAATTTGAGATTTGCAAATTGCTAGGTTATTGGAGGCTGATATGGCCATATAGGTGTGAAACTGGATATCCCACATTGAATAAATATGCAGATAACACTTTGTTTATATTGCACAAGCTTCTGTTATGAATTGTCTCTTCGGAGACATCTGATAAAATTGGAACGATACAGAGAAGATTAGCATGGCCCCTGCGCAAGGATGACACGCACAAATCGAGAAATGGTCCAAATTTTTTTGACCTTTTTGCCCCTTCTTTGTGTTTTGCTTCTATTTTTTTCTAATTTTTTTTTCCTTTTCTACCCCTCCAACATCAATCTATAATGTTTATTCTTTTTGTTTTTTCCCCCTTTCTAATATTTCCTCTCTAGTCTGTTTTTCTTCACTTGATCCTATATGTTGTTTACAGCTTAATTTGTTTTCTGCTCTGAACTCTGAAACATTATGTACTTAATTGTGATATGATTATGCCATCTCTTCAGTTATGAACTTATGATAGGGTTTACAAAAACAAAAACTATGCTACCTCTTAACATGCATACTCTATAATTTGATTCCTTTGTAGCTTTTGCTTACCATATGTTGGATTATGTTTCTGTAAGTTATATTTTGATTACATGGTGCTGTTATTCATAACCTTACTGCTTTATTGCCTCAGATACTAAATCAAAGAATTGACACAACTTGGGTGAGAACCAAAACAAAGGAGGTTTCCGCCTTTCTGGTGTTGTTCTTGTTCATATGCTTTGCATACCCTAAAGACAACTAACAGACAGTACTTTTACCACTGTTGGTTATTGGAGATCTTTCATGGTTGCTACTTGGTTACAAGTCAACTGCTTTATTCTCTAGTCCCACACTGATTATTTACAAAGCTACTGGTCCCTTTATTAAGCCTGGCTTCTATATAGGTATTGTCTCTTCGGAGACATTTGATAAAATTGGAACGATACAGAGAAGATTAGCATGGCCCCTGCGCAAGGATGACACGCACAAATCGAGAAATGGTCCAAATTTTTTTGACCTTTTGCCCCTGCTTTTAATGTGTATTGCTTCTAAATTTTTTCTTTATTTTTTTTACCTTCAGTGATATAAAGTTCTTTTGCTGTTGACTGCATTGCATTCTCTCTACTATGAAATTAGCACTCTATTGCGATTTCATTGTCTGCTGAAAAATAGTGTATAGAAACAAAACCTGTGTTCCTTCCTTCATTTTCAACTTTCGTGTCCACTAATTTGATTCTAGAGGTCTCTCCTAGCCATACTGTTGAGTAATCTTCATCTTGAGACTTGAGTGCTATTTCACCCAACAGGCACATCCTGAGACCCTTAATCTACTTTCAGATGGTCTCTATCTATTTTGGGCTATCTGAAATACATCTGGTTAAATTGGAATAGTTATGGCAAATAAAATGTGATTTGCGTGAGAAACTGAGGATGAATCAATGCTAAAGATGAAACTGATCCCTTGGAGATATTTTGTGCCCTCACTTTTTGACTTGTAACAAATACTTCTTCTTCTGTGAGTTATCTACTTTTGTATAATCATCTTAATTGCTAACTGTGAATTTCTCAGGTATCCATGCGGACATTTTCAAGTTTGATAATCCCACATCAGAAAGATGAAGGAAAGGTCAATGCCACTTGGAAAAAAAAGAAGGTAACTTGTACTAAGAAAACCACACCTTTCTCGCCCTTTTGGCATATCAAGTGTAGTGTCTGTTCTAATCAGTTTAAAATCTGTTATGTGGCTTAACTTGCATGTTGCTGTTGAAGTATTTGGAACATTAATCTAAGTCACTTAATCACATGACTTCCCAAGTTGCCTTCCTTTTTTTTAGAGAGGGGTGTTGGAACATAAAACCGAAGGAAAATTTTGTGTAATAAACCTTTCTTTATTTGCTCATGATGGAAGTTTGGAAATGCACATTAGCGGCTAACCTACTCTTATATACTACTCCCTCTATTCACAAATGATTTTTCGTGCATTTCTTTTTAGGATGTCCCCAAATCAATCAATATATCAATCAATCAATATCAATATATATACGGATATACCCATGGCAAGACATGCTATTTTGCCATGTGTCACCAATTTTGCCATTTGGCATATATTGTGACGCCACATCATACAAATTCATTAATGATTGAAAACTCATTATATGCATAACCTCTATATATTTATGTTTTGTTTGATTGAAAAACTTTCATATGCATAACACTCTATTTAAATTCCCCTAGATTGGAATGTAATTCCTTAATAATTGCAAAATAATAAAATTTATAAGAAACTAAACATTACTCCATATTTGTATGCATTAATTCATAAGATTGTAATTATAGAGTAAAAGTTTTGATTTATATATATTACAAATGTAATTATAGAGTAATTTTTTAGGGTGCATTATGGAGTACTCTGTAGTATATACTTCCTCCGTTCAGTTAATGTTGCAACAATGGACTTTTTGCACTATTCATCACTCTTGTTTGACCATATAATATGATTTATATGTTAAGCAAAATAAAGTCATGTGAGATATTGTTAGATTCGTCTCATAAAATACTTTCACAATATCAACTTTTTATAATTTTTACTCTTATACAATTATAGATATATAGCATATAAAATGTGCATAGGGATGTGTAATTTCCTCCTTGTTGCAATATTAATAGAACGGAGGATGTATATTATTTATACAGATTTGATTTATCAATTATATTTTTTTTCCACATTGGATTGATTTATCATTTACCCTATATGGAGGGTCAAACCAGCTCATACAAACAACTAACTACTTAAGCTATCATATTATTAAAAAAAAAAAAACTCTTAAGCTCTCAATGACAAACAGACCAAAATATATATAGTTGAATTAAAGTTATAAATTAGGGCCAATAACTAGTAATCTTCCTGAAAATGGAAAATTTTACACTCAATTCCTGTGATGTGGACCCTTCTATTACATTTATTTTTCTCACATTCTCACTCCTCCCTAATAAATTTCTTAATATGCATGTCCAACTCAAAAAGATTATTTATGAACGCATGGAGTATTTATGTCTGACAAACCTAATAAATTTAATAATATGTATGTCCAAATCTAACGAGAAGATTATTTGTGAACGCATGGAGTATTTAATTGTGATAAACCTTTCTATATTCGTCACAAAACGCACAAGTTTCCAGGACTTGGGTCTTTATTGCTAATACACTCTTTATCATGTACTCTTGAGTTCCCCGTCAAAAAAAAAAAAAAAAAAAAAGAAATGTACTATTGAGTTATTGAAGTTTTCTGTGAATAGAACTCCTAATAAGGAATGATATTCACTTCCCAATCAACAGAAATTCTGTACCACATCGAAAAGAAATAACAAGGGTACGGAACCATTAAGAAATAAAAGGCAGGAGATGAAACAGAACAAATCATACCTTTCTCGGCCTTTTGGCTAAGATCAAGTGTAGTATCTGTTCTTATCAGTTTAATATCTGATACGTGGGCCAATGGCCCACAACGATATTAAATTTATTTTTTAAGGGGGAAGATCCACCACAGTAGCTTGCTGCTGGGATCTTCAAGCATCGCCCATGCGTTGCACTACTGCACAGGCCTGGCGCACCCCACCAATGATTAGTTAAGTCTCAGTTATTTTTCAAGCTTGGTTCCTGCTCAAAGATGATGCCAACTTGAGATAGTCTTCCTTGTCTCTTTCTCTAAATATGTTCTCTTTCTGTAGTCTGTTCTGCCACTAATAATTTAATTTCTCTAAACCCAGCTATGGAATTCTTATATGTTTCTCAGGATTTCTGAAACTCTATGGTCAATCCTTAAAGTTGGTATAAATATATTGAAGAGAGCCGTAGTGGATATAGAAGAGAAGGAAATGGTGTCTGGTGACTTATTGCTAGCAAATGAATTGCAATCCAAGGTAGAGATGCTAGAGACATATAGGTTATTTAATGAAATAAGCTGCCTAAATACTCTTTGTGATGGAGGCCCTAATAAATGGTGCCAGTCAAGGGAAAAAAGTTTAATACGTGAAAACTAAGTGTTGGTAGGTAATCTATGGATGTGTTATTGTCAATGCAAAATTGAGAGACGGAAATAACATTATGAGCCAAGGAAATAAAGAACATATTTAAGAAAATGAAAGAGAACCAACGTAAGGAATTTTTAAACCTGTACCTTCTCCAACAATTAATTCCTCGGTGCCATTGTGGGGAGAATGCACAGCCAAATTATTGACGTCGATTGTGGATTTATGGTTATGAAACTTTCTAGACTTCCATCTTGAAGTCTTGAATCCAACAAACCTTTCTGAATTAGTCCATCAAATCCATTATGACTTTTAGCTCTATAGTTAATACATGGTTTCTCAATGTATCCCAGAGTCCAGACTGTAGAATACTTTATAGTTTATTCTAATTTTCTGAAGTCTGATGAGAACAAGACTGATTTCCCAGAGTCCAGACGTTAGAATACTTTATATTTTATAGTTTATACTTATAGTTTATACGTTAGAATACTTGTATGAATGCTGTACCACATTGAGAAGAACGGCAAGAGTACAACAACTTCAGGAAATAAAGAGCAGGAGACAAGACAGAACAATTCATACCTTTCTCGGCCTTTTGGCTAAGATCAAGTGTAGTATCTGTTCTTATCAGTTTAATATCTGATACGTGGGTCAATGACTCACAACGATATTAAATTTATCTTTTAAGGGGGAGGATCCACCACAGTAGCTTGCTGCTGGGATTCTCAAGTGTCGTCCATGTGTTGCACTACTGCAAGGGCCTGGCACTCCCCACCAATACATACTTCAGCTTTTTGTAGTCTTCCTAAATTCTATCTATTTTGCATTAGGAAATTTCGTATTAAAGAGAGGAAGCTGCTATTGTGAAGTCACTGTCTCAGCGGTCATAATCTTGAGAATTGATATCGTTGAGTATCATTCAAGAGTCTAACTAGGAGTGAAGAAGTATATCCTGTTGACTTTGAAAAAAAGGAATCTCCTGCTGATTATTGTGTGATCAGATTTCGTGGTTTTCCTTATTGCAGTGAGGATCTAAAATCTACTGGTTTGAGAAATGTTATTTTTCATAAAAAGTTAATAGGTTTCGTCAGATATCTTCTTATATTCTCCGCAAATACTTGTTTGAATTTTAAAGTTTGTGATTTGTTTGTACCTTAGTCCCAGTAGTCAGGGACAACTGGCTTGTTACAAGCTCCTTGAAGGAACCCATTCAACAACTAATGTATGTCATTTAATGCGACAAGCAGATAGTATTCTTTAGTAAAGTGTGAAAGAATAGTTTGATCAACTACTCTCTGACATCTTCAATCAAGAGGATCCAACAGAGAAACTCCTATAAAACCTGCCTAAATTTCTGGTTATAAGTAACAATTTGATACATACTATCCAGTTCAAATATTGTGTGCAAATACAACATTCGTTTTCTGATTGGATAGAATGCATGCGTATTCTGTGTGAAATAACACAAATGTATGGTGTTTCTTCACCCATTCCATTTCAGTAGAATTCAAAGTGACCAGAGAATGTGCTCGAACAGCTAGAGCTGAGGTTTGGTGCTGGCAAGAACAAGAAAAATGGACTTGCAGTCTCTTCAGTGTATTTGGTTTTCTCCTCAGTCCTGGTTGATGGAACTTACACTTCTACAATCACTACTGAGGCTGTTAGTATAACTTTACTTTCACATGGTCCATTTATTCTGCAGATTTGTTCTGTCAACGCCATGTTAGCAACGTTTGTTTAACTATAGAGGATACATGCTGCAGGTTTTTATTCTGATATAATTAGGTAAGTTCTGTAAGAGCCCAGACTCCTACTCACAAACTATGACTTATTCTCTGTGGTTTCTATACTAGCTGTGTAACAGTAGTATAGAAACTACTTGCTGTGCGAGAGTTTTCATGTGCATTTTAAGCTTAATGAATGCAGTCGTACTGACAGTTATCCTGGTTCGTGTACAGATATGATGCCACCTTGAGTTACAGTCCAACATTTGTCCCTTCTCTCCTTAATTTTGGGACTTTCGGGGCTCCTTTTAGCAGGTTATGTTTTCCTTCTGCGGTCTGTTTTATATTTAATTGCACCACTAACAGTTTTATTTCTCTAACCCTGATATGGAGAGTTTAAATTGTTATCTTAAATTCTACCAGGGCCTATATCCTTCTCGAGTCCTTGTGCACGATGATGCCTCAAACTGCTGCAAGGTATTATTGCAACTTTTACTCGATTCATATCTCATTTAACTGATTCTCTGTGATTGAGTTGGTGGATTTGGTGCTTTTTATTTTGTGGGTTAAGTTAAAGTGTATTATATCATACAACAGTTTGGCAAATTGATACTCTCCGTTCTTTTTAAGGGTTACACTTTGACCAGCACATAGAGGTAAGTGAGGTAGTTGGAGTATTAAAAAATTGTAAAAGAAAGATAGTGGGGTTGATAATTTATGAAAAAGGTATTGAATGTGAGAGAAGAAATAATAGAAGGCTTAGGTGGGGACCATGAGAGGTGATATATAATACTACCTCTGTTACATATTATTTGCAACGATTTGACATAAAGTAGAGAAAAAAAATGTCTAATCGTTGCAAATAATATGTAACGGAAGTAGTATTAAAAATGTAGCTTTTTGCCAAAAAAGGAAATGTAACACTTAAACAGGATCACGTTTGATAAGCATAGGGAGTATTTGATAATCTCATCATAGATTTAGTATTATAGTTGTTTTTTTGGAAGCTCCTTTTAGGAACTCCCTCCAAAAATAAACGTACGCCACTAAATGCAGTGAGCACACGGTATTCTTTAGTAAAAGGCGAAAGGATAGTTCGCTCTGTGCTTACTGCATGGCTGCGTGATGCTTGCTGTAACAGGCTTCGTTATTTATACCGCAAAGTCCTAGCTTAGATTTTCTTTCTTGACTGATGTGGGACGGTTGTGTTGTCTTTTACATAATAATAATGGTAATAAGCACATGGAAACCCAATTAATATTTCTTTACCAAAAAAAAAAAACAATTAAGGAAATTTCTATAAATGTTCCACGTGAAAATCAACAACTCAGTAGCTTCTATGGCAACTTAGCACCTAATTTATGGATGTGTAGTCGGTTACATCACATTACAATTGTGGTTACTGCTTACTACTTGGAAAAATCAGCAATGGGAAAAGGTATGACACTTAAGAGAGCCTAACATTTATGTTGTAGAGATTAGGGGATAAAATTGGTTAGGGGATAAATTTGGGCAACTGTGCCATGTTTATGTTTGGTTTGGAGTCAATTTCAGCTTCAAACAAATAGATTAATGTCCAAAAGCTTCTACCATCACAACTAATGACCAACATTAAAAAATATCGAGGATAAATGAACTTTTTTAGTAGTAGTATTGAGCTTTGGAATTAGAGACCAGATAGGGGCATAGGGCTCTTCATAGTTTCTCCTCACCTGTAATGCTCGTGAATGATAAGACGGACAATTACTTATTTGTGCATTGTGAGTTTGGTACTTTGGTGAATTTCCTTTGCATGAGCTCTTTGAGGTTATGAATGGAGTGCTTAAACCCAACCTTTGTCAATGAATTTCTATTAATTCAAGGCCTTGTGCTCATATATGATGGTTGACCTGTATCCTTTATGTGCTCTATAGTTGGATATCTTTTTGCTTTGCTTGTGTATTTTTGGGACTGTAAGATTTTAGCTCTCCAATCTAGCTGGTTAATTAATTTGTCTGGTTAAGTTTTGAGTCTTTTGACTGAAATTCCCATACAATCCTTCAAAAAATAAAGTAATTAAAGGCTGAGATGAGCTTGTTAATCTAGTACATCACTTATGCTAACTACACTCTGAAACTTGTCCTACTTATGTGTGACTGCTCTGTGTTAAAGATTCTACCAGTAACTAAATTATGCTTATCATTATTAAAAGGAAATAGGATTTTTCGTTAACTTTCACACACCTGGTCTGACGTGAATTCTGTGTCAAATAGATTCCCTTAATAAATTGCTTATTAAATTGGTTTTTTTAATTTCTGTGTCACCGTAAAGTACCGCGGTGAAGGTTGAACTAGATATTGGATAGGGGCCGCGCGAACGCAGGCCCCCTCTATCACAAATTATGACGTACACTCTTCCTCTTGGGAAGATGTTAAGCAGGCACCCCTCCTAATGTGCAATGGAGGCTACCTGCCTAGGCCATGAGTCTTCATGATCACCCATTGACCCCGTCCAGGTAAGTAATTTGAATGTTCATTATCAGTTTCCTTTAATAGTCATCTTTCTCATACGCTCCTTGTTATTTAATTGATGTGGGACAATATCACCTTACAAAACTGACTTTCATAAATATATGGTGAATAAGTGAGTCTTATGTATGCATATTTATATCATTGTATCAACTCACCGATCAGTGAAGTTGGAATGATTAAATAAGCAGTACATCATAACTAATCAATCTGTGAAGTGTTGCTGGACCCAATGTAGAAATTACTGAGTATATAAATATCACTACTTTTAAGCTCAGAGATTTTGTGCCGTATGAAATCTTGGAAAAAATAGATTCAGATGACTGAATTCCATTGACTTGTATCTAAAATAATTCTTATGCTTATTTGCCTCACATTGCATCTTCAGTATAAACAGCAGACAGATGATTCCTTTGTATCTTTGTCTTCCACAGTTCCACTCTTCCTCGTGGAGTCGTGGGTATTTCTAGTTTTAGTAGGGCAGGGTGGGGGGAGGGGTACTGGATTTGACCTCTGATGTATTACTGCATGGGAGTCGAAATATTGTAGTTATATACACCAGGTAAATTAATGCATTTGCATTCTAAGCTGCTAACACCTGCATGATATATTATGTTGACCAATAGTGCTTCAAACCTCTTGGTGAATGGGTAGTGCACCATCTATGTCCAACTCATTGCAGTTATTGTGACAATAAGGATGCTTGTAAACTAGATTTTCCTCTTGAACTTCAGTATGACTTGAAGGTGGTGTCAGGTTTTGTTAATAGAAAGAAAATTTTAAAAAATTGATATATATGCTGTCCTACCAAATAGATATGCAATTCACACTTTCACAGCTAGGCAATTCGCAACAACTACTTCATGTGGACGGAAAGGGCTGTAGAGGTTGATCACTAAGTGATACTATGGGAGGCTGTAGAGGTTGGTCATTAAGTGATACTCTATTTGTTTTTTTTTTGGGGGGGGGGGGGGGGAGGGGGGGGGGGGGGGGCTGTTTCCCTACTAAGTTCACTTGAGTTAGCCATGTCCTTGTGAATTTGTGAAGGTCTATAGACAGTTTCTATAGGATTTGCTACTGGAATAAGATTAAAGCCCATATCAATCTAAAACATTGGGGTTGTCTATCTCTCTCAGCCGCCTTAAACTCTTAAAGTCAATGTTGATGCTGTAAAAGGCAGGAAGGATAGATTTTGGTATCTATTTGAGGGGTTGTTTGGTTGGATCATTTGGAGTGGGCTAATTCCATTCCATCTAGTTTGTTTTTTAGATGTGGAATCTCATACCCTTCTAACTCTCCCCCATACGTATTATATTTCATATCAATCCATTCCAATTTGATGAGCCAAACAACCCCTAAATAGAATTAGACCACACCATATATACTTGGACTAAGTTTGCTGGAAGCTCCAGTTAAGGAACTCCCTCCAAAAATAAACGTATGCCACTGTATGCAGCAAGCACACGGTATTCTTTAGTAAAAGGCGAAAGAATAGTTCGCTCTGTGCTCACTGCATGGCTGCGTGGAGTATACTGGAGTACAGTGAAGCATATGTATAGAGTAGTACTTGGCGGTTTTAAATTATACGATGTGGGACTGTTTTGCTTTTCTCTATTAGTAATTATACGCAATATGTATCAGTCTATAAAACTTTGTAGGCTTCACAGACGTATTCATCCTAACTAACCTTTTGACCCGTTTAATGTACGGGTTGTTACTTGGGTTAATTATTTTCATATATAGGTATGTTTTTTCAAAAGTTGAAACTTTTGATATAGTATGCGAAGTAATTGTTTCATTGCTAAATCTTAAAAGAAAAAAAGAGTCGGAGTAGAACTGTGAAAGAAGATGAAGAAATTTGGTTAGGTATGTACATGAAGATTGCGGAATATGAAATGACATATTAGTTTAAGTTATATTAAGTCTATGAGATGAAAAGACAAATTTATTATAATTTATATGTTTATTTTCTTCCTTGAATTTGCAAGTTATAGAATGCATAAAGACTTGAACAAAAATATTAAGGGAGATGACATGTGGCATATGGGGTAATGAGTGACTTGTGATGACATGTGTCATATGGAAAATATGTGGTTTGTGTTTTTAAATACTGAGTATAGATATCTATAGATATAGACAGATAGATATATATACAGATTTACTCCTTTTTTTGATTAATTGCAGCAATTTCCTTTTAGATCAAATATGAAAACAGCAACCAATGGAGTTGATTATTCATAGTGGCCACACCTGGCATGTAGATTCACTCACTTTTGGGGGCTGGTTGTATGGGATGTCATGGACTCACATCAGCACGTAAAATATAGTGGCAACATCTACGGGATCACTATATAATGAATTAATGATTATAAGATCACTAGGTAAGTACCAACCTGTCCCAAGGATCTCTTCTATGTGACATGTGGGCAGCTGCTCTTAGCTTCATGACTACTCACATGGGAGACCATAACCACACACCACTTACCTTTTGACTCATACCCAACCCCAACATTCCAAAGGTACACAACATTTATAACAAAAAGCTTTACTCTACACTTTACCCTCCTATCAGACCATTTATAACTTAACTATGTGAGCGAGTTTCTCGGGTAGTTTTTTTTTTTTTTTTTTTTTTTTTTTTCTTCTGACAGCGGAGTAAAAGGAGACTAGCTCCCAATCGTTTCTCGGGTAGTTAATGCATCTTAAATTCTTAACTTTATAGGCACTCAAGACTGGGTAGATTATTCTTGACCCTTACCATGTTCCCTAAAGGCCTAAACCCTTATTCTAATATTGGCCCTTACCATATTCCCTAAATCCTTATCCACAACAACCCTATATACCATATAGATAAATGAATACATTTATGGTTGGATGAGGTGTGGTGGAAAAGGTGAATTAAACAAATATTTCGACGTACTTCCAAATATGAGGTTGTTGCTCTACACTATTAACAATCAGTCTGATATTGGATGTTACAACTGAGTTTTCCTAATTGGAATGATTTTTGCTTAATATAATATGTTTAGTTGAAACTAGGCCCTAATATTCACCACTTCATTTAAACCCCTATCACTCCCCAATATCACATTGGACAAAGATACATTGACCATAAGTACTAGCTACCCTCACGCTCTGATCTACCACTGAAGTAGTTTTGTGATGATGTTATTAGGTTCATCCTGGACAAAACAGCAGATGATTAATACTTTAACTTTGATGCATGGTTTAATGAAGAGTCTAATTGTAATATGTGGCCTTTTTGTCACAAATGATGATAAAATTAATTTGCAACTTACAAGAAATTTAAGTCTAGGACTATTGAAGTTTGCTATATTTGTACCTTCTATCTCACTAAGATTGCTTTAATTACGTTTCCACTATTTTAAGAGTTGGCTCAATTGAGTAGGCAATCGGCATACATGTTCTTTTTTGTCTTTTTGTGGATACACATGATTTGACAAGTGGGAAAAACGTACTAGCTAATTGGTGATGGTGCAGTAGTGATTGAGATTGCACTAAGTAGGGATTACTGCGTGTTTGATCCCTCGCAACAACAATTGGGGGGGATTATCTAACCACCCAAGGATTATCCCAAAGGATGAATCAAGTGGTAACCCAAAAAAAAAAAAAAAGTGGGAAAAACATTCCATAGATGAAATGGGATAATTTAATGGGACATCTATTACTTGAAAATGGGGCAATTTAAGTGGGACGGAGGAAGTTTTGATGATGATAAACTCATTTGCAATCTCTTAGGTTTAAGACATGGTTTGCCTTGAAAATTCTGAGTCACCCACATATGAATGTAAACTTCCTCTTTAGATGGCAAACAAACATGAGATGTGTGTGATGATGAATTTGATTCCAAATTGAACATTATCCCATTCTCATGTACTCCGTATGCTCCTTGCTTTTTTTTTTTTTTCCTTAGGCCTTGTTTGGTTTGATGTAAAATAATTTTTTCATTATTTCCCATTTTCCTTTGTTTGGTTTGTGAAGGGGCCGGAAAACAATTTTTCCAATGGTGGAAAATTGCATCCACAATGGCGGAATGCATTTTCCTTCACAAAACAAGGGAAGCCACATTTTCCCCACATTTCCACTCCTATATTAATTTCTCTTTACCTTTTTTTTTTTTGTAAGAACCAAACAAAGGAAAACTATTTTGTAAGTGTGGTTTTCCTTGAAAATATGTTTTCCATGAAAACTAATTTTTCATTGAAAATGTTTTACATCAAATCAAAGGGGACCTTAATCCTGTTTTTTTTTTTTTTTTTTTTTTTTTTTTTTTTTTGTGAATGCAGATCGTAGTGCTATTCAGGTAGAGATGGGAAGATTTTCAAAGTTGGTGATCCCACATTGGATAGGTGAAGCATTAAGCCGATACAACCAGATAATTAGTAGACTTTTGTGAAGCTAAACAAATCATACCTTTCTCGGCCTTATGGCTAAGATCAAGTGTAGTATCTGTTCTTATCAGTTTATTATCTGATACGTGGGTCAATGACCCACAACGATACTAAATTGGATCCACCACAGTAGCTTGCTGCTGGGATTCTCAAGTGTCGCCCATGCGTTGCATTACTGCACGGGCCTGGCACTCCCCACCAATACTTAGTTCAATTTAATTTGTAACTGTCATAAGTATTTCAGCTTTTGTTGAAGCAGTTATGAGTTTGTGATTATATAAGCATTTACTCCGTCCTTTGTATAGTTTTTTCTAACGTATGTTTTTGACAGTTATGTAGTGCATCAGAGTAAAAAAGTTGTATTTGGAGTGGGGCAGAGGCCGCACAAACGCTGGTCCATTGATGCCACAAATTATGAGGTATAGGTGTACCTCCTGAAGTGCAATGGCGGCTACTACTTAGGCTATGTTCCTAATTGATCACCATATTCACCCATTGACCCTCTAGAGGCTATTACCATCTTCTTGGCAATCATTGATGTGGGACAGTATTTGCTGAGTGTTCCTTCTATTTCCTGCTAGCTAATCTGAATTCTGAACAGCTCTGTTTTTTGCAAGGGGGTGTTATCTGATTTTTGAACATTGGCTAATTTTCTAGAATGGGCAATGAATCACAACTGATAAAGCTATTTAGGACACTTCCGTTCTTGAAGTGAGGATCAAATTGTTAAAGTCAACAAGAAGCTATTAGGAATGGTGGTGTGGAGAGAAGTTCAATCAAGTGATTCAATTGGGGGTAAAAGTGTTTGCTTAAGACTAGCATGGAGCTTGGGTTTATCACGGAGGAGGAAGCACGGCACGCTCATCCTTTGTTTCAGGGAACAGACTTTGAAGATTGGGACAGTAAGGCTGCCCTGCCCATGGCCATAAGAGCACCACACTTGTGTAGCCTCTTTTAAAGGGCATTCACAAACACACTTTTATTATGATAAATGCTTGTATCACTGATTCATCATCAATACTACATCTTAGTGATTACTTGGTTGAGTTGGTTCAATCTCAAACCATTATGATACATTAAAACTTTATGAAACACTACTCATTTGTAGAATATTTTTTATTTGGCTAAGATGGTACACAGCAGATATGTTATATGTAACTCCTAATGAGGAGGATGATGAAGATTTACAACACCTGTACAGATTAACATTATTATTATTATCGTGTAATATGTTGTTGAATTTGAATTGGTCTTAATTAAATTAATTTTTTTTTTCATACTTATTGATACATAACGGTATATATTTATTGTTGAAATTATACATCAAACACATCTAATATTAAAATTACTCAAGTTACTTATAAATGAAGAGAGTTGCAATAGCTCTCATAATTGCTTTAAAGGAACTTAATATACTACTAATACGAACAAGGTGTATTTTTTTTTTATAAGATACCTTTCAGTTAAGCGTGTTTTGCTGGGAGTAGTCTTAAAATGGGTGACCTTCTGGGAAAACTTCCTAGGGTGCGTGTGGGTGAGAACATGGTGGTTGTCCCCGGTGTAGACGAAAGAGGAAGATGGTGTCGGTGGGGACGAAATAGGAAGGTGATGGTGTTGGTGTTTGTTGTCGGTGGAGGTGGAGGTGAAGCCAAAGCTGCAATGGACGCCGCTAACGTTACCATCTAACGTCGTCTTCAGCAGTCACGTGACCTGCTTCAATGGGGCTCACAATCAGCATTTATTCAGCTTTAAAAACCATTTGTTTACAATTCCCTAGGTATTTTTATTACACTTTTGCCAATAGGAAAACACTTCTTGTTTCTCAAGAAGAGAAACCGGGGCGCCCCCAAAAAAAAATAGGGGTTGATAATCTCCTCAATTTATACAGTCTACAAGCCATCCATTTCACCAATTATTTGGGCTTGAGGTAATCCACTGCCTTTTAATACACTTACTAGATTAGCTTCCGTGCGATGCACGGATATCATAAAAAAAGAGAGCTATTTAAATAATACGAGTACTCTATAAAAAAAATCATAAGATATTAGGTAAACAGTTGTCAAAAGGCTTATTAAAAAAATTGTGAGGAGTTTAATGTACAATATTATGTATTAAAATATTTTGTAGTCAATATTAATTCTTTTTTTTAAAAAAAAATGTGAAATAGAAAAAAAAAGTTTAGGCGGGAAAATTTTAAAGGAGAAGTTGACACGTGTACAATTTGGATAAATAAATGATGTCAGCGGCTGTTCTTTTAGTATTAGTTATAGATTTTTTGGTTCATTTATTTAATACTCCGTATTTGTAGTATTTTTTCCTAAATTTTTATCTTTTTATTTTTATTGTGTGTGTGGAGGAGCATGATTCTGAGTTTTAATTATATTTTTACTAGATGAAACCCGTGCGATGCACGATTTGTTTGAATTTTTTAAAATAATTTTTTTACATATATATTTATGTGCTAAAAATTATTAAATATTTAGATAAAATTATATATAATATATTAGATTTTTTCCAAAAATTTATGGGCTTTTTCAGTTTTTCCTAAAATTAAAGTTTTGGCTTTTTATTGAGCACACTAAGTTAATACAAGTATGAACAATTATTGGTAGTTATAGTTAATTAACATTAATTTTTTTGTTATGAGATCTGTGAAAATTGCAATGTGAATTGAGTTTCAAAGTACGTAAAAAATAAACTCTCTCACTCAGTCACTCCATTTGATAATCTGCTACATTGGACACATCATCTATGTGACAAAACCCTAGTAAAACATTATGCATTAATCTATAGGATGTTTAAAATTATAATCTGACTAGTATTTCCTAGTGTTACCATATGGGTATGAATCGCTAACTTATGTTGTTAAATTAGGCCAAAATGAATTACAATCACGTATTAATTCGCCTTTTTCAGGTCTTAGTTTGCAGGGATTAGGGATCACTACTACTTCTATTGTTCCTATTTTGATTAATTTGATATATGGGAAGATTGGCTTATAATGTTAATTTGTGAAATTGGAAACGGGCTTATAATGTTAAAATTGTCATTTAATTATCAATTTTGTAAAGGAGATGAAGAATTGACTGGCTGAGCTTTAATTTGGTTTTCTAATTAATTTATTCCACCCTATTTGTTATTCCAAATGTTTGTATAATTATATGCATGTTGGAGTGTTAGTATATAATAAACCCATGTGACATTAGCACATTATGGTGCATGTCGAGCCTCCTCCCTAGACTTAAGCTAGCTGAGTGACTTTGCCGTACTTAATTACACCAATTGATGTGCGATTTTGCCGTACATTCCTAAATTAATACCATTTTAAGAAGTATCTTAAATTGTTATCTAATGCCCCAGCAATCGTTAGCAAGATCCTAGTTAGTCACTTGTAATATGTTGATTAAGGTTCCACTTTGATCATTTCGGATTTTCATGTATCATGGGCTCATGGGTATGGTTTGGTGTTGTGAAATTGAAAGCGAGTTTTGCCTACTCAGTTGCACTTTATGAAGCTTCTTAATTTGTAATAGGAGAGCTGCATACTTAATTGGCTTGTTTCTGAATGTTTTCATGCTCTGAAAAGTATGTCAAGAATTGTGCTTGTAGTTTTGGTCGATCCTGAACTGATATTGGTGTGGCCATGCCTTTTTTTTTGCCTCAAATAGGTCAAATGGCCATTCCTTCTGTACTTGTATTGCCAGTGTCATTTGTTATTATAGACCTGAACTGTTTTACTGAATTTCTGTTAAAACTGCAGTTTTTTTGTAGACTAGTACAATTTATAGTTTTAACTGCAGTATTTTGTAGACTGGTACAATTATTTAAGCAATTTTCATTTGTAGTTTAACTAGGAGAGTTGTGTTAATATATCTCCTGCTGTTAACTGTCAGGTTGAAGAATTATCGTCATAATATTTTGGGCTCTCCGTTGTTTACTTAAGGCCCCTGAGCTGACTAAAGATTCAAGTAAAAGAATTAGAAGTGAAATTTGAAGAAATGGATCGAGAACTGGCACCATAAGTTCCCGGTATTTGTTCTTTTTATTTAGTAACTGACTATTACATTATTCAGTTATTGGAGAGCTTTTGTGGTTGCAGCTTGTTTGGGGGCTTTTGATTGTGATTATAGGATTATCATTGAAGAAACAAGTCCATAAATTTTTTTGTCCTTTTCTGCCCCAGCAGTTCTATCTAAAATATAATAATTTTGCTGCTCTCTCTATCCCTCTCTTATATGATGATGCTGTTCATACTAAGGATGATGCCAGTGTAGTAAATCATTTAAATAGTTGTTCATGTAATAATAGGGTTTATATAAACAAAAATTATGTTACCTCTTATTTTGTATACTCTAGAAGTTGATTCCTGTGTTGTTTTCGCATACCATAACAGATAACCTCATTGCTGGGGTTGAATTTTAGAATGCACTATTCATACTAAGCCTCATATAATAAATCAAAGAATTGACTCTCGGTGAGAACCAAAACAAAGAATGATTCCAGCTAGAGTAGTAAATCATTTAAATAGCTGATTAAAGTACTTTGTTTATGTATTCTCAATATTCTGCCTTACTGCCTAGCTCTATGTAAACTAACTTAACTCCATGCAAACTTAGTAAGACCTAAATTTTCACTTACTTTTCAATAGTGGCGCCATATATGTGAGCATCTTTATTGATGCAAACAAAGGGAAATGGGAATTATTTATTGAGCATCTTTATAAAAGGGTAACATAATTTTTGTTTCTTCCATAAGTAGAAATGTAGAATTATTTTTGACCATCGGGAAATAGAAATATTATTTCCTAGAAAATATGTTACACTAAACCAGTCACTCTAAGTGTTTAAGGGCCTTTGCTTTTGTTTAAGCTTGTTTAACTCAATCTATTTTATTTATTAAATTGGTTATATTAAAGTCTTTAACTTATCATATCTTATATATTTGTAAGCTTTGTCCAAGATGTGGGGTTCTGAGCAGTTAAAACTCATATGATTATTAAACAATGTTATATTAATGATCTGAGCTTGGGGATTCATTATTTTACTTTTGCATGCTCTTTTACTGCATAAACTGCCCAAATAAAAACAATCCAAGTACAAACCTTGTCAACATGAAATCTGGGGATGTTCCACTGGATGCACCCTTTACTACTAGATGTTGTTTGTGTGTGATAAACAAGTCTCCTTTTGTTCAAAATGAAAGTATGATATGTTTTATATTTGTGTAGCTTTACCCTTAGATACAATTAATGTGTGATTGACCTTCTCCTTTTGTTCACCAAATCTACTAGTAGATTTTATGACCTCCAGCTCTATTGTTAATACATTAGTTAACCATGAACTTCAGACATCCGAATAATGATGATGGAAGTTTGCTGTAAACAGAACCCCATTTCAAGGAGTGATGTACCACATCGAAAAGAAGCGTCAAGGGTATGACAACTTCAAGAAATAAAGTGCAAGAGATTAAACTTAACAAATCATACCTTTCTCGGCCTATTGGCTAAGATCAAGTGTAGTATCTGTTATCAGTTTATTATCTGATATTTGGGCCAATACGATATTAAATTTTTTTTAAGGGGGAAGATCCACCACAGTAGCTTGCTGCTGGGATCTTCAAGCGTCGCCCATGCGTTGCACTACTGCACGGGCCTGGCGCACCCCACCAATGACTAGTAAAATAATCTGATTTTCTCTCCTAATTAATTGAATGATGATGAATAGCTGAATATTCTGTTTTAAATATATGTATCATCTTATATTATGTTAAATCGTTCAAATTCATGATTTTTTTCAACCCCTAGTCACAGCAGTCAGGGACCAGAAGCACTCTGAAGCAACCCATTCAAAAACTGCAAATTAATACAGCCATCTGATGGTATTCTTTAGTATAGTGCAAAAGAATAGTTTTCTCTACTGCTGTAAGAGATTATAACAAAGAAATCTCAGTTTAAGCCGCTTAAATTTCTGGTTCTGTGAGAGAATTTAACAATGATAAATGAGTTGTGATATCATGTGAGAATACACTATTCTTTTTTTGATTAGATGGAATGTGTGGCTATTATTTGTGTGGAAATAACAAGTATGAATTCTCCGGTCCATTTTCAGTGGAATTTGGTAAGTGGACAGATTATGTGCTCTAATAGTTAGTGCAGAGTTCTTAGTGCTGGTAAGAGAAAAAAAACAAA